AGCAAGCTGGTGTTAGACCCGGTGGAGGTTGTATCGACCACATCTTCACTCCACCAAATTCTGGAGCTCCAGCATTCTTTTCGTAAACCCACCATATCTGCCTTCCTAGATGTGAAAGCGGTTTTCGACTCAGTCGACCGCTCTAAACTCTGGCGCTACCTGTCTCTGAAAGGTGTGCCCGAGATGTTAATTTCAATATTACGATCGCTTTATACTAATGATCGAAGTCGCGTCCGGGCTTACGGCTCTTTTTCGCCGGAGTTCACCACGGAAAGGGTTGCCCTCTCTCTCAATTTCTATTTTACTTTGTTATAGATCTGAGTATGGAAACAGTCCTATCCTCGTGCGAGGATAGTGGTATCGACTTACTCTCATGAAGCAGACTGTCTGATCTAGAGTATGCAGACGACATTGTGCTACTGAATGAAGATCCAGATCTGAAAAGTTTGAGTGCCAGTGTAGCCATATTCGGTTTTGCACCTTCAAAGTGTAAAATGTTAGTACAAGAATGGATTGGTCCAGCACCCAGCCTCACTCTAACTGGGGAAGTAATAGAGCAGGTGAATAAGTTTTGTTATTTGGGCAGCTACATCTCACCCGGTGGACGTATCACGGATGAAGTGTCTGCTCGCATACAGAAGGCTCGATTGGCATTGGTCAACTTGAGACATCTGTGGTGCCGTCGCGACATCCAAGGTCGACTGTATGCCACGACAGTTCGACCGGTCCTGCTATAAGTTTAGAAACTTGACCATTAAGAAAACAGGATAAAGACAGACTGTCGGTGTTTGAACACCGCTGTCTACGCAGTATTCAACTTATCTGGTGGGGGTAGCCGGATGAGCAATGCTGAGGTTAGAGGCAGAGTTTTGGGTATCTGCGGTCGCCCACTGGAGCAATTGCTCGACCTCCATAGATCACGTTGGTTGGGGCATGTGTTACTCAGGTCACGAGATAGGTTACCACGGCGAGCGATGTTCGCCGAAGCAGACACCGAGTGGAAAAATGCCAAGGGTGGTCAAGCCAAGATCTGGCACGAAGGTATGAAAACCCTAACGAGGAGACTGGGTTACATAGGTCCCGTTAGGCTGTTTGGATGGGGACCTCGGGGTGGTCGTAACCGATTGTTAGAGAAACTGATTGATATGGTTGGGTGTCGCAACCAGTGGCGTTCGTGCATCTTCTCAATCTCTCTGCAAGCTTAGACCACTGGACTTCTCCAATTTCTGTTCGGCTCCACTTTCAAATTTCCTTTCGTCTCTTATTCTTCATCCAAATGGGCAGCCAAAAGACAGCAACCAAAACCGGCGTACGAATATGCGTATTTAATGGTTGTTCAAACTGAACTGAACCCAGAAAAACATCGATTGATTTCCTCATTACGAAGATTCTTGTGTCACTTCGTTTCCACACTCCGAATCCAGACCAGCGTGAAATGAGGTATTTCAATATAGGAATTGTGTGGTGCACGCAACTGATTCCTGTTTCTGCATATATTTTCCCTAATTCACGTCGTATGTTTTCGGTATTACCGGCTGCTTTTTAGGTTAATAATCGTAACAGTGAAGTGCCCATCAGCGGTTTGCTGTTATCCTATCATTTATTCTCTTTCCCTCACGTACGAATCAAGCTTGTGCTGTTCTGCGCCAAAGCTAACTTTCGTCTTCAAGGAGAATATTGTAATGTGGAACGGTGATAGTTTGCTAGGCATCAGGGAAATGAAGGAAGATCATCTTTATTTATTATATCAAACCATTTTCAAATATTTTCTTATTTTCTCTCTACACGTACTCATTTTGTTTCATACAGTATCAGTCATTCAACATCACGTTGTCTTTTATTGTTTCCAATAAACTTCTCCACTAATAAAATTCTTAGTGAAAATATACGGATAGTTCGATTCAATGCACGCATTTTTGAGTCTTGTTAAACATCCCCCCAACCGGCTTGTGACCTATCAGTTTCCGCTTCTGTTTGTGCGCAACCATTAAGACCCTGCCCTTCCGTGCTCCGAACCACATATCTGATGATCAACTAATGGACCGCAGATCAAGGGTTAACAGAATGAGGTTGGAGTTTTGAGAAAATCTAAGTGTGCAATATGGACGGTGTACGGAATTGTGTATGGATTAGACATGATCAATGCGTACAACTCTCTCATCCTTAACTGTCGGGAGTTTTTGACCTCATTAGTTTAAACTGCACTTCCTGCAGCAGACGATCTTCCATCGGTCATGCAGCATGTCTTTCGTTTTGCTGATCACTGGGACCATTGTTTTATCTCTGTAGGGAAACGGTAACTATACTAAATATGTACGATGTGCGGTTAATCATTCACGGTTCACGCGCGCATTGCTCACAGTGGTTTATATTCTTATTTACCGAACGTTTCCAAGATTTTAAGCCGGCCTTTCAGTCAAGAAGTAATTTCACTGATTATTCAAAAACCTTCACAAAAAAGGGGAAAAGGAAATAGTTGGACATGGGGAAGTTGGAAGTAAGGGATTCACAATGTGAAACTAGCACACAACACCATATACACACGCTTTAACCAAGCTTATTTCACTTCTTTCTTTTTGTGTCACGTTTGTACCACACATTTCCAATTTGGGTTAGATATTGTGTCGTCCATTCTTCTTCCGTGCACCTAACACCTTGGAAGAATATCACGAATACCTTTTTTCTCGTGCTCCACGTACGATATTTCAGTTCCTCTTGTTGTTGTGTTTGTTGTTTTCTCAGCCCGAGAACCCGTCGGATACATCAATATACAAATTGGCCTTGGATTTCCTCAAACACATTGTCACAGATGGGTTTCTGGCGCCGCCGACAAGCCACCAACCCATTCACTTGGTGGATACTTTGCTAGAGGTATGTCCTGTCTGATGATCAGCTGATTTCATCCAATAATAATCCCTACCGTACTCACCTTCTGTCCCATGTGCATCCTGCCCTTGAGCACTTTATCTTGCTCTTTGTGTCACCTGATCGAATTATTCATCTTGTCATTTGTAAAGGGACTTGACTGTAAAATTCAGTTTATGGATAGAACCTGCATGCCCTATGTTCAGTCAATTTGTTGTTGTTGATGACTGGTGATGACGATGATAATGATAAGATGTGACCAAAACGATACCCGTTGTGCTTTGGAGAAAATTTTGTTGAATCATTCAGATATGCGAAATTTAGAGAAAGGCTTTCAGCTAACTATGTGACTTTTTTCTCTCAATCCGCAAGGGCTCTAATTAATATCTTGTCTTTTGTTGTTTTTGGGGTCTCTCTTTGAAACTTTATTCATGCCGCTAGTTCGCATCAGCTTTTGAGATTGGAGAATTGAGTGCTATATTGAACTGCTATGACTTTCGACACTGTAGTTTTATGCATCTTCGTGGGGTGGTTTTGTATGGGGTCTTTTACGAAAAGGTTAGAAGGAAGATTGGAAAGTTGAAAGTAGAGTCGAAGAGATAATGGGAATTTCCAGTAGACTAAGGTTATTAACAGATTGAGAGGGTACACGAACGCTTCTGGTTGCGACATTCAGCCATATCACTCAATGTCTCTAAACTTCGGTTATCTTAATCCGGTGGTCTGCGTCCAGGGTTTCGAGTGCGACTAGTATGACCGAATCTCCTGGCTAGGGTATTCATTCTGTCATGCCAAGTTTTACTTTGACCGCCATTAACCTTTTTCATCTATCACCTGCTTGGGCAGACAACGCGCGTCGTGGCAGTCTATTTGTTGTCACGCGTTACGTGTCCCAACCAACGTACCCCATAGAAGACAACCACTTGCCCCGGTGCTCAGCCGCGATTTCCCAAAACTCTACTTCTAACCTCAGCATTACGAATCGAAAAGATTCGTACACAGTGGTGTTCGAACGCCGACAGTCTATCCTTATCCTGTCGTCGAATAGCACTATCCTATTGAAACCCTGTGCGAGTCAGTGTAATCTTTCACTGTTTTCATTTCTTCCATAGACTTGGTCCGATAACACGGGATCGAAACAGCATCAAGAATTCCAGACGCGTCTGCTGGTCGAGCTTATGAATCACTTCGTAGCTGTCAATATCCTCGATCATCGAGCACTACAAGTTTCATGTGGTGGTGATCCTGTCAACTTACCACCAAACTTGGTGTATTTGGCTACACGGATTGTGGATAAGCTGTGGCAAGTAAGTCAGTCATCTGGTCTTTCACATACTCCTATGTGTTGCCGTCGTCTGTCAATCGGTTCCTGATCATCTCATGATAAAATCACGTGTGTGAGTTCGATTCCATGTACCAGATTTCGGATTATTCATAACGAGAGAGAGGGTTGTTTCTTCGCATTTATGTATTGGGTGAGGTGAATCATCCACAATGGGCTAATTCAATTTACCGTAGAATTGTGCGAAATGTGGCTGTTGAAGGTGTGTAACTTGAAAAATCCTCCCCTACTACTACGTTCGTGATTTCAACTCTGACAGATTAAACACCAAGTGCCAAGCAAGTTTGCCCGACGTTCAAAACATGACTAACCTTCGGAGTAAAGTTTGAAAGACTCCCTGTTCGCTGACAGTTGTCCATTTTTCTTCCAGTGGTGGGAAGTTTTTTTACGAAATGAGACTCTTCGTAGGTACGACAAAGAGAAACTGAACTACGAATCTATGAAGCACTTCACCGCTGTCATTAATTATAGGAACACATCGATCTCATTAGACATGAAATCTGGGACCTTACATGCCGAGGGCAAGTCTTTTATCGGGTGGATCACGGGCTGATATTTTGTTCTTATTTGTATCAGCAATTTAATAGCGATTTATTATTTCGGTGAACTTCATTTTAAACTTATTCCTAGATTCGGCACAGTCAATTTAGCACCGTGGTTTTATTGGCACAGTCTGAGCGCACACAGTTTATACGAATTGACCAAATAACACTATCATGAATATCCCTAAAATGTCCGTATGACGTGAATAGTTCGTTACACAGATTCTTACCCTTTTTCATCATAACTCTTATATGTCGGACTGTGCTGTTTATTCCGGTTAAGGATAAATTACGATTTCCTTTGTTACAATCTGTTATTTTACCTTGGAGACTGTCACAAGTCAGTTCTTCAGGAAATGCTCTCAATATATTTTCTCTAGTCTACTGGACACAAATCACATTTGAGAAGGAAATCATTGGCGTTTATATATAAACCTGAACCAATCAGGTTGTTCAGGTCGGCAAAATTAAAGTCTTGTACGGACCAAGCATAAAAATGCAATTAATGCAGTAAAACAAAACGATCAATTCAAGCAACATTACAACACATTCTTCTTCTTTTGGAAGTTCTTCATTATGATCCTGCTTAGTATATTCGTCCACTTCGTGTTCGGGATGGAGATTGTTCGGTCATACTCGTCGTTGATATTTCTCGCTGTGGTTCTTGTACGTTGATTGCAATATCTTCCTGAACGGTATTAGGATCGTCTCTTTCTTCGTCTTCGTCGTCATTCTCCTCCATTTTCCTCAAATGAACTCTTTTTTTTCGTATTATCCGTTGACCACAGCGTACTAGGTGCGATTTTTTTGTTGCTTGCGATATCACTTCTCCCTTAACCCACACCTTTTCCGTTGGCTCCAATCGTTGTATCCAAACCGTGTCTCCTGATCTGAGAGAGCACAGAGATTTACTGCCGCAGTCGT